CTGTTCGCAACTTGATTTGTTCGCAAATCCAACTTTACTCTCTATAGATTCCACACGTTGTACGGCATGTACACTAAACACGGGGAATGGCTTTAAAAGTTGTATAATCTCCTGCAGATGTCGATGCCACTGGTTCTTCATGTTCTGCAAGATGTAGATGCCTCTGGTTCTTTATGCTCTGCAGATGTAGATGGCACTGGTTCATGTTCTGCAGATGTAGATGCTAATACCCTTTGGTGTGCGTGTTTCCTCTCTACTCTCTTTTAACTTACCAAGAGATGACTGCACAGTTGCTCTCTTCTGCGCTTCACAAATCAACTTGTAACGGGCAATATCATCGTGAACAGTTGCAACTGGACAAACGGACAGGTTTATTCGTATCTCAGAAAGTTTGGAAGTCGAATTTTCCTAGAATCCCTGTACAGATATGTAGGTGTATTGAGATGGCTGTATTGATAGATGAGGTGTATTAATGGCTCAATACAGCCTTCCCCCACACCTCCGATTCGCAGTTTGCTGCGTAGGGTGTGAAGGAAGTTCATCGTACATACATGTTAGGAGTCACAAAGCATCACTTTGTGGGTGACAACAGGACTTGAAAAGAAGCGGAAATGTCCATGGCTAGGGAATGTGTGCAGAATGGAGGGCCAGGTTGCCCTGGCATTCAGAAGTCGGTGACCAAAGGAGAAGCCGAGAGGCAAGACAGTGGCGGAGACTTAAGGGGCAATTTGAGATGCATTTTCAAGTTTCGACTGAACAACAACTTCGGGACCTGGCAGGCAGAAGGAAGCAATGGCGAGGTGTAGTGGCGGCGGGAGTCAACAACGTTGGCCGTCATAACCTCGATGAACTTGATCTCAAAAACTCCAATGGCGTTTTTGGATCGCGTTGCGGGCGAGGTGAGATTTAAAACGGCGAAGCGTGCATCACTTAAGTGGAGCCCCACACTGCAGCATCAGCAGGATTAACTACGGCGATCAATTCCCATTACGGCGCCGCTGGGGTCTACCCCCCCACCTCCCCCCACCTTTAGCCGGGATCGATAATCCTTCAGCATACGAGTGTTGCCCGTGCCTGCCTGCCTGCCGACCGCAAGGCACATGCCATGCTGCAACCACGCTGAGCTCCAAGCCAAAGTTGTATAAGGTCCTAAGTGCACCGACTGGCAAAGACGTTTGCCTGTTTGCGAAAAGGCTGAGGCGGGGAAATCAATTTCAGCCGCGAGACACAAAACCAAGAAAGATTTTGTGCACGGACAGCTTCCCACAGACTGCCGCGTGAGGCCAAATTTTCCAGGATCGGTGGCTCAGAGCTCTGCTCCAGGAGGGACAGGTTATTGCAGTGTTTGGCAATTTTTGAGGGATCAAAGCGAGTTTTGTCAGCGGCGTCGCCCGGACAGCTCGGCGGATCGGTCAACAGCGTGTCACGATTCAATCGCACGTCTCGCGATGGCGCAAATAACCGGCGCCTCCGTCTCCACCAACGTGGCTGGGGTGGTGCCGTGAGAGCGCTCACACCCCACCATCGGAGTGCTCACACCCCACCATTGGAGCGCTCACACCCCACCATCGGAGTGCTCACACCCCACCATCGGAGTGCTCACACCCCACCATTGCAGCGCTCACACCCCACCATCGGAGTGCTCACACCCCACCATCGGAGTGCTCACACCCCACCATCGGAGTGCTCACACCCCACCATTGGAGCGCTCACACCCCACCATCGGAGTGCTCACACCCCACCATCGGAGTGCTCACACCCCACCATTGCAGCGCTCACACCCCACCATCGGAGTGCTCACACCCCACCATTGCAGCGCTCACACCCCACCATCGGAGTGCTCACACCCCACCATCGGAGCGCTCACACCCCACCATTGCAGCGCTCACACCCCACCATCGGAGTGCTCACACCCCACCATCGGAGTGCTCACACCCCACCATTGCAGCGCTCACACCCCACCATCGGAGTGCTCACACCCCACCATTGCAGCGCTCACACCCCACCATCGGAGCGCTCACACCCCACCATTGCAGCGCTCACACCCCACCATCGGAGTGCTCACACCCCACCATCGGAGTGCTCACACCCCACCATTGCAGCGCTCACACCCCACCATCGGAGTGCTCACACCCCACCATTGCAGCGCTCACACCCTACCATCGGAGTGCTCACACCCCACCATCGGAGCGCTCACACCCCACCATTGCAGCGCTCACACCCCACCATCGGAGAGCTCACACCCCACCATTGCAGCGCTCACACCCCACCATCGGAGCGCTCACACCCCACCATCGGAGCGCTCACACCCCACCATCGGAGCGCTCACACCCCACCATCGGAGCGCTCACACCCCACCATCGGAGCGCTCACACCCCACCATCGGAGCGCTCACACCCCACCATCGGAGCGCTCACACCCCACCATCGGAGCGCTCACACCCCAACATCGGAGCGCTCACACCCCACCATCGGAGCGCTCACACCCCACCATCGGAGCGCTCACACCCCACCATCGGAGTGCTCACACCCCACCATCGGAGTGCTCACACCCCACCATCGGAGTGCTCACACCCCACCATCGGAGTGCTCACACCCCACCATCGGAGTGCTCACACCCCACCATCGGAGTGCTCACACCCCACCATTGCAGCGCTCACACCCCACCATCGGAGTGCTCACACCCCACCATCGGAGTGCTCACACCCCACCATTGCAGCGCTCACACCCCACCATCGGAGTGCTCACACCCCACCATCAGAGTGCTCACACCCCACCATCGGAGCGCTCACACCCCACCATCGGAGTGCTCACACCCGACCATCGGAGTGCTCACACCCCACCATCGGAGTGCTCACACCCCACCATCGGAGCGCTCACACCCCACCATCGGAGCGCTCACACCCCACCATCGGAGCGCTCACACCCCACCATCGGAGCGCTCACACCCCACCATCGGAGCGCTCACACCCCACCATCGGAGCGCTCACACCCCACCATCGGAGCGCTCACACCCCACCATCGGAGCGCTCACACCCCACCATCGGAGCGCTCACACCCCACCATCGGAGCGCTCACACCCCACCATCGGAGCGCTCACACCCCACCATCGGAGTGCTCACACCCCACCATCGGAGCGCTCACACCCCACCATCGGAGCGCTCACACCCCACCATCGGAGCGCTCACACCCCACCATCGGAGCGCTCACACCCCACCATCGGAGCGCTCACACCCCACCATCGGAGCGCTCACACCCCACCATCGGAGCGCTCACACCCCACCATCGGAGCGCTCACACCCCACCATCGGAGCGCTCACACCCCACCATCGGAGCGCTCACACCCCACCATCGGAGCGCTCACACCCCACCATCGGAGCGCTCACACCCCACCATCGGAGCGCTCACACCCCACCATCGGAGCGCTCACACCCCACCATCGGAGTGCTCACACCCCACCATCGGAGTGCTCACACCCCACCATCGGAGTGCTCACACCCCACCATCGGAGTGCTCACACCCCACCATCGGAGTGCTCACACCCCACCATTGCAGCGCTCACACCCCACCATCGGAGTGCTCACACCCCACCATCGGAGCGCTCACACCCCACCATCGGAGCGCTCACACCCCACCATCGGAGCGCTCACACCCCACCATCGGAGTGCTCACACCCCACCATCGGAGTGCTCACACCCCACCATCGGAGCGCTCACACCCCACCATTGCAGCGCTCACACCCCACCATCGGAGTGCTCACACCCCACCATTGCAGCGCTCACACCCCACCATCGGAGTGCTCACACCCCACCATTGCAGCGCTCACACCCCACCATCGGAGTGCTCACACCCCACCATCGGAGTGCTCACACCCCACCATTGCAGCGCTCACACCCCACCATTGGAGTGCTCACACCCCACCATCGGAGCGCTCACACCCCAACAGTTCAGTCCCTGCTTGGATCAACTCGGTTCATTCTCCCTTCAGAGTTTGGTGATATACTTCTGATAAAAACCCGACTGAAGAATTTCTTAGCTCACAGGGTACTTCAAAATACACTGAAACATAGAACATAAACAGTCGTATTGAAATAATTCATTTTAACTGGAGGCATTTCGCTATTCTTATGACTTTCATCAGCACGTGACGATGTCATAACGACTCAATACCTGCGCAAACATCATGAGCGAATAATCGTCTTCGTTTATTAAAGATTACGTGCAACCGACATGCGGTTACATTAAAACTCATAGCAAAGCAATAGTGAGAGAAAAAAAATCGGAATAAGCGACGGTAAAAACAGGAGGAGAAAAAAATCAATGGTTGAATTGAATATCAACCCTGAACCGTGATAATTCATCAATTTGACAAGAGGGTGAGAATCATTAGACCAATAGTTGTTAACATCGATTCTATTGTTGATATAATCTTCCTGCTAAATCTGCACACATACAAAAATGTGGCATTTGAATGTGTAAATGAATACATGATACAAATGGTTACACATTGACGAGTTGTTAACATCGATTCTATTGTTGATATAATCTTCCTGCTAAATCTGCACACATACAAAAATGTGGCATTTGAATGTGTGAATAAATACATGATACAAATGGTTACACATTGATGAGAACATTATTCTACATGCGGAAATGAGCATAACTAATATCTCTCGCACGCACACACAGCACATCACATACCTTCCAAACAATGAAGCATGCATTGAGCAAAGCGGAGGGAAACGGAGCTTGAATTTTGATGCGGAGCTAATTTGTAGGTGTGTAGTGTTCTACATCAAAATACCCGTGACGGCTAACCACGACTGTTAACCACCATCACGTTACAACGCACTTAATCCATCCCAGATTATTGATTTAATGTAATCGTGCAAGATTATTTTGCAGCGCATTGAAGACAAGTTCAATAAACGTTACGTAAACATTTTTACAAGTAGAACGTTTTTATTTCATTAAGGTTTGAGTGAAAAAATTACAGGATCATCTCGGTCAAATGTTTTTATTATACAACTTAAATAACGAGGCACACCACAGAATTCTTGCAGCCAAACTGACAACGTTGCAATTTAACATCTACAAAGAAATGATTACCCCCAGTTGATACAGCAGCCTCGTGTGACCATTTTACATTTTTTTTAGCAAACCACAGCTCGGGTGTAGTGATTTTTTTTGTTCGTGGATTTTAGACTGTCGATAAGACTCGTCATGCCCCTAATGCCGCAATTGTGTCTAGAGCTGTTAAGGATAAGGGCTCATCCTCGAAGCTGTGCAGCCCGCATGAAATCGGAACTGGCAGAGCCTGAAGGCTGCCGAGTTGATAGCGCGTTTCACATTGTGCTGACCCGAGCCTAATGGGGGGGGGGGCTGCATCACTTCTGCAGGAACACCGATGATATATCTACAGAAGCTAAACGAGCATAAAAAAAACCTTTGCTATTCAGCACAAAGTGGCCTTGCTTTGTGTTGATTTTTCATAATCGCCAGAGGTTGTTCTTTTCAACCGACAGCAGTCACTTGGAACGACATCGTCAACCGCCACGTGTGTGTGTGTAACAGCGAGTCTGCATGTGTGTGGGGGGGGGCGTAGCGCAGCGGTTGGCCGTGAGCGGGAGTTCGATTTCCGCTCACGGCCAACGCCCGCGACGATTATCTGAACCTCTCCTAGGTCGACTGAGCCTCAAATGAGAACCCGGTGCGGTGTGTAAACATTGCCATTAGGGAGACAAAGGTGGCTCGGGCTTGGCGTTGGCCAGCCACCCCCTCGTGTAACTTGCCGGCCGTCATAGGTGCTCGCGAACAGCACTTGCCCCAACAGTCTGCTCAGACTACACGGGAGATATTTGTGTCCGTGTCTGTGCGTGAGATCACACCCGAGTGTGGAATGAGCAATGGGGGGTCTCAAACACCCCCAAGTTCTCCCAGAACCTACATTACAAGTCTTAGCGTAGGCAATTTTTTTTATTGTGAAAGTCATTCTGAACTCGGGCCACAGACCCAGAGACCACGTGTGTCTGTGTAAATGTACATATGTGTGAGCATTTCAACGTGGGAAGAGGTTATTCATGTTAGCGTACTGTGCTATTAAATCAGCAACCCAAGTTGAACATCAGCCATGGCAAACATCAGTGGCGAGTAGAATATGTTGCTGTCTTGGACCTCCGCTTAGGTCTACTCAACTTTAAAATTATGACATGTTGTGTGTAAACATCGGCAATGGGGAGACAAAGGCAGCCAGGCGTGGTCCTCGCTACACCGCCCTATTACGTGCTAGGCTGGTTAAAATAGGCGATTACCAACAGCACTCGCACCAACAGTCCGTATGGCTCTTTGTGGGATCTGCATTCTCGTGTTGGGGCGGGGGAAGGTGAAGATCCGTGGCTGTTTCAGGCTGGCACGGGAACGTGGTACTGCATGGGAGGCAGACGAGGGAGCAAGGCATCTTGAACCCGGGCTTACGTCGCGGACCCGTCCTCGCCACGGATCGCTTTGTACTTGTTCATCTCTTCGGGGAAGACGCGGCTGAGCTCGGCGATCAGCTGGCTCCGGAATTTCTGAAAAAGACACGCGGTGCAGGGCGACGCGCCGCCGTCAGCGAGTGCAGCTTTCGCTCACCGTACCACACCTCGCCGTCACACTCTTAGGGGACAGCTGCCAATAGGGGGTCCCCCCCCCCCCCCGCCCATAGGCCAAGCACTGCATTCTAGACCAGGGGTCGTCAGCCTGCGGCTCCTGAGCCGCATGCGGTGGCTCTTTGGCTTCCTCCATTCGGCTCTTTGGTTGCCCCCTTGCGGGCAGCCAATTAAAAAAAAAGTTTAAATCCTAAAAATAATTTTACGTAAAGATGATTGATTAAATATGGCAGGGAATAGTTCACTATGGGGTGTCTTGGTGACGACAAAATCTACAGTCAAACTGTGTTGTTAAAGAATAACTAAGAGGGGGGAAAAAACTAAATAGCTGCAGGTTATTCCATCACCTATTTTGTTTACTTAAGCCAGAATGTGTGATCTGCTGTATACCTACTGCTGTGTTTGTGTATGTATACAAGTGGCTCTGTGAGTGATGTGGCTCTCCAACTAGTTTGGTCAAAGACTAAAACAATGAAAGTATCTTCTTCTTCTTTCAAAGATTGCAGACCCCTGCTCGAGACATTGGTTACATAATGAGTGGAATTGTTGTTGCAAGTTGTTGGTGTTCTTCCAGGAAACATTGCTATTTTAAGCATACGGCCAGGTAGGACTGTGAACACTAAAAGTGAAAAGTGAAGAAAAGGTGAAATGGAGGTTGGGTGAAGTGGCAACGGTGGTGTTAGGGTCAGGGATAGGGCCATGTGACAAGGTCTGGTTTGCCAATGTGCTTCATCTCCCAAGCAGCCCAACTCCCTCCCTCTCCTATCACCAACTGTTCACCACCTTTGGTGTTTACAGCGCTGTGGGTACAGAGCTCAGCCACGAAGAGGTGGCTGAAAATTCATATACCAGAATCTGAAACTTTATTTAGATTGGAAGAATCCGATGAGCTATGAAGCTCTATTTTACAAATGGAGCAGGGGACAGCAAACCCACTGCATCAAATGAAAAATAAATAGGCTTTACCCTTTCCAGCAATAATAGAGGTGCTGTTAAGATGTTCAAACACGAAATATAGACTTATTGCCAGGAAGCAAGTCTGCATGAACCACACATGCTTGTGGTAAAAACATACAAACGTGCTCTGACAATATCCGCATTGCCTTTGAAACTGATCCTATAGACATTTTTGACATTTTATACATTTACCATACAAGTTATATTAAAACTAGGACATTTTAATCACATTTTGCATTCAACATACTTCCTGTTTAATGTTTCAGTTGATGTAGGGTAAGATAAACACAAGGGGGTGGGTGTCGTATTATGAACCGTGAACCAAATCCTCGTTTTCCATTTTTGTGTGTGTGTATGAAACTTGGTACCCAGAGAAAATCTCCACATGAAGAGATTGCACTCACGATTCCATCCATCTTGAGTCAGACACCTAGTTGCTGCTCTTGCTGCTTCCCATAGCGGCTACTCCACACAGCTCCGCACATGGGGGCATCTCCCACGTCGTGTCCTCAACTTGACCCACGATCCCACCTCCACAAGCACCGGATTAACAGGGATGCATCTCGATCGTGCGATATGTATTACAGAGTTAACGACACTCCGCCGTGGTGGTGGAACAGTATCACCATAATCATCTGCAGCATTCATCATCGCCCAAGGTTTAGAGATTAGGGATTTGGGGAGCCTGGAGCCCACATCAAACGTTAACATGTTAATGATTAGAGACAGGGCGAGTTTAACTCTTGCCCATACACAGTATGCGTGGCAAGCACACACATATACGGTGGATAAGGGCAATAGCAATGATTTGCGTTAATCGACCTGAAGCCCAGCTTCCTCTGGGGGAGGGGGGGGGGCATGGTGAGGCCTCCAGGCAGTATTGTTTTTATATTCTCCTGCTAGCCTCGCCCATAATTGCTACAATCACGACGATTGTCCCTTTTAACTCCCATGGCTTTGTGAAACGAATTACTGGACTGTGATTAAGCAGAGGACAGTCAGTGTTTGGGCGGAGTGCAGATGAGAGCTGTGGCATGAAATTACTGACATAGGCGGACTTCAAACCCATGGCCAACTGTGTGGTGGAAACAGAGAGGATTTTTTAATCTATTTTTTAAATCAATTTTTTTTACCAGGTAAGGCCCACTCAGCTAAATAGCTCTGTCGGAAGCGACATGGCAACAAATGATGGCACCAACGAAGTGGCTTATCACGTGGAAAATAATAGCAGCCAAATACTCTTAAACGTATGTTTCTGAATGGAGGGAAAAACCGGAGGACCCGGACAAAAAGCAACACGACCACAGGGAGATCATGCAAACTCCAAATATACAGGCATCAGTGTCGGGATAAAACCCACGACCTCCTGTATACCAGAAGAGGTAGTGAATATCTCGTCACCACGGTGACTCTCATCAGATTGTTCGCATTAACACCGCTGTGATCTGACCCATTCCAATGTCAAAGGCTAGCATGGCGTCAGACACTTAGCACACCGATCCATTTTCCGTACAGTTTGAGCATTAAAAAAAATTAGTCGCAGCTTGCCATCACGTCCCACCCTCTGTCAGGAATATTTCCTTTTTTCGGTGCTGCTGAAGAGTCGACACTCAGCCTCTACGGTCCGCTCCCACAGACCCTGGGGTTTGACTCAAGAGCTCAATAAAATAATTAAAGACGCGCATTCCACATCCATTATATTAACAGCAGGCGTGTCATAATGCATCGATTCATTGATTAAAACCGATCCTCATGCTCGCGATATACGAGTTGAACCACGTGGCGAGAACAAGATTATATTCGATTTATGCAAATTGTATGCTAATGTCACACGTAGACAAATGGCATGGACAAAATTGTACAAGACAGAAAAAAATGTAATTCTGATTCACATCACGACCTTGAATCATGGAATTCAATCGCAGGGGAAGGGCGACTCATACGTCCATTATAATTATCTGGGTGGAAGCCCACTGCAATGTTATATATTTACTAAGATATACTAAGGTGGGTTCTAATACAGAACACTATGAGCACGAGTGATGACAGTGATTTCTACAAGAAACTTCAAAAGCACAGCAAGACGTTACAAATACAGTACGATGCATTTGGTAAGGGTGACCCCCGCCCATTGTGTGGAAAAGTCACAACAACAAGACCCCAAAAATTACCAAATGTCAATCACTGCATCTTGTCAACCAAGTGAGATTCCAATCAGAGCCATAATCTCTTTTTAAAGGATATTCAGTGCAGAACATTAATAACGACGGTCATATATAATAGGGATGACAACGCCTCTTTGTAAAAAAAAATGGGATATGTGTTAATTGATTAAATACTAGACATTGATTAGATTATGCAAGGTCATATCACCATGCCTTACAGCCGACAGTCCACCGAGACTTATCTCAATATATTGTCACCTGTTTATATATAGTTAATTGCATGATTATTTAATCCCATGAGAGTTGGTGAAATGAGTTCACTTGAGGACGCTGCACCAGTTGGCCGAGAAGCCAACAAGAGCTATGCTGCTGATAGCCGACACAACATACACCAGCCCCTGCCAGGGGAACATACAAAGTTCCTCCACTGACTACAGACTGCGAATGAAGTTGACAATTACCCAGCACTTAAGAGACCCAGAAACAGTCGGGCATGATGGGGCAATCTTCAAGGTGGGTGGCAGCAGGAGCGCAGCAAGGTATCTGTAGAGGCTGTGCACTACCATTATGACAATCCCCTGCTTACGCCACTTTCCCAAGCCAGGGGCAGGCATGGATAAACGCTGGTGGCAAGGGATGGGGCATTTTGCCCAAATTTAATCACGCGCACTCGTCGAGCGTGTCGCTCAACAGCGCATTCATCCTCCAGCCGTCCCAACCCTCGCACCGCGCTCATTCCGCCAAGCAGCCAGGCCTCCTCATCAACATTCAGGTAGTCATGCTCGAGCGGTACAGCCGAACAACAGAGTTCAACAAACACGCTACGTTTGGATGAGTCAACCTCTGACCAGGATTTGAAGTCACAATCTTTTGATCGCAGATCAAGCGCTCTTACACCAGCAACATCCATTTGGACCAAAGTAGAGTATTGGACTGCGTGAAATATAAACACACACGCAAATATATGCAAAAGACAAATCTCCCGATATAGCCATAGAAAACTTTTGAGGCAAGTGCTGTTAGCGAGAACATATTAAGACCGACACTACGCCCGGCTGCCATTGTCTCCTTAGTGGGGATGTTTACACACCGCACCAGGTAATCATGAGGCCGAGTCGACCTAGGGGAGGCCCAGGACCAGTTCAGATAATCGTTGCTGGTGTTAGCCGTCAGCGGGAATCGAACTCGTGTCGCCAGGTTCGTAGCGCAGCGTGCTAACCACTACACTACCGCTCCCCCACTCATCATGAGCTAACAGCAAACATTCTACATTCTCTGTAGGCCAATCACTATTTAATTCCCACAGAAGCACTGAATGACAGACTGAATCTAGCCTCGACTACGACTGAACCCACGACTGTTACGTAAATGCTATAATGAACGCACCACTCAGCCTCTGATTACGCGGGATTAATAAGAACATTTATTTCAGGAAATGTTGCTCTGGACTCGACAAAGAAATGTTACATTGTTCCCCAATACCAAGGCACAAGTCATTTTTACGTGTTTCACTGGGCCAAAACCTTTGCTTGCTGCATCAAGCTGTAGAAATCCAAAAAAAACCACGAGGAATTATTTAATAGGTAATTCACTGGCTTGGAAGGAGCCAAACGCTAACTTGGAAACAATAAGGTTTGAGTGAAATTGCTTATGACCTTGCGAATAAATTACACGCGCCCACGTGCGCGCAGAGCACACAACATTGATTATTCCACGGGAGATTACGCCTTGCGGTGCCCCGTCTCTGCCGCTTTTCTATTCCAGCCCACGGAGGTGACCGACCATGGGCCTGAATTTGGTGCGAAATGCCCTATTTTCAGAAAGGGGAGAGTGCAATTAGAGAGGATGGTGCAGAAACCATCACACTGGCCGCAAATGAAAACTGCTTTCGCTTCGACTGCAAATAAATCCTCAGCATATCCGTCTCAATTGAGAAACAAGTCCCATGTGCTCATGCCTCCATTGGTGGAAGCCAGGTCGGTGGAAATGATTTGGCATTATTGCAGCAGGCGCCAGCTTCTCCACGGGATGACGAACACTTTACCCGCTAGAAGGTGTCGCTTATTTTACCAACCTCGGGAGGAGGGATGATATAGTCCGTACTCGACCACAAGCCAAAAATGTAACCGTCGAACCTTCCGATTGGGAGTCGATCGCTGACCAGAGCCACGCGGTCGATCATTATCACTACCTGGGGATTAAACTTTTTGGAGTTTGGTGGCTTAACAAATCGACGTGAGCATCAATGCCATGAGTCACTCTTCAACCTTGGGAGTTATTTTATATTATTGACAAATAGGGGTCAAACGTTTTATTTCCACGCTTGGGTTTCAAGACACGAGTCATACACAGTTCCATTATTTATTATCAGGCTTTCATCACCGAACCACACAATTGATTGCATTGTGGACATTAAACACCCATTTAACATAATTCTCAACAGTAGGCCATTATGTGTGCGTCATAACACAAATCCCCAATAGGAAAAATGACGCACACCAACATGAATATGTAAAAAACACATACAAAGCTAGTGAACCTTGCAAAAAAAATGGAAATGATGAAATAAAGGTTAAAGTATCAAGGGAGCATTGGGTGGCGCTCATTCTCATTGGTGGAACCTGAGCTAGTGGTAAAAATTCCACATTAATTTGGCAGGGGGGGCCGAGTCTTTGAAAAGCACAACTACTGTTGACTTCCCACTAATTGGTACTAATTTTTCGTGACCCTAGAAAGGATGACACGGCTGGGCCACACGAGGTTGGAGAGACAGATGAACGAAAGCAAATTTGTGAGAGTGGAAGGAGAGGAGGGGAAACGTGTCGTCCTGCAGCGGGGGCAGCTGCACGCAGCCCGAATGAGTGCCAGCCAAGCGTGGGATTGGCGCCCGCTAGAGAGTGGATGCAATATTAAGGAGCGAAATGAGGACGTGAGGATCTGTCGATTCATTGATTAAGATCGATCGTGATGCTCACAATGCGCGTAGGAAAGATTAAAGATTTTTGCTAATTTATACGCAAAGTACACGATGTTATATCTAAGCCAAGGACATAGCCAAAACTGTGCAAACAAAAGGGAAAAATGGAATCAATACAAATTAGACAAACTATTTGGTACTTGAATCTAATTGTGGCCAAAAAAATCATCAAAACGCTAGGGGGGGGGTGTGAATCATACCATGCCTATAACAGTTTCTGAGAATGACTGACACTCATGTGAGCAGAGACAAAGCAGTGCTAGATAGACATTGAGAAAGCGGATGTAGCAATTTAAAGTGGTTGGTGCCCCAGTGAAATCCTGGATTAGATTACCGCATCAACCTCAGTCTTCAAGATCTTCCTTGATTTCAACTCCACTACCTCTCGCCTCTCATCACTTTCCATCTCCCCTCCCTGTTACCTTCGCTCCAGCAACCAACACCCTCTCTGAAGACCTCCATTCAACCTCTGCTTGGTGGAAGTTGCTCCTCCTCTTCTGCTACGTCTGTGGTCCTAAACCTCCTCTGGCTGTCCGAACGATTCACTCTTTCTACTCAATTAAATCCAAGCGGGTGACTTTCCTCTTCTCCCAAGTCTGTAAATGATAATTTCGTCGCTCTGCCTGTAGTATTTGACCCTTGCCTCACTCTCCCATCAAAATTTCCCTTTAAAGATTCCTCTTACCCAAGATATAAATATGCACAGCTACTGATTTCTTCTAACAGGGATTCATCACGTTCAGATGCTAAAGAAATGAAAAATGGCATTGGTGCAGTCGAGACAGCCCAGATTAGCTGAGACAATCCAGATTATAATACTATATGCCACCTGTTTTACTCAGAGCCGAAGTTAAAGATCCCTGTGACATCATTCGCAAGAGAAGGACATTGCGTATGGGCGTCAAGATTCCAAAAATGTTATAATTACCCGCAAATTATTCAAACGAGATGATACACGGAGGAAAATCATCACCTGCTACTGGCAGACTTAATTCCATAGGACATTCTTGCAAACGAGACCATCCTGGTCTCTGGAGTTCTCACCTGGTTCAGTAAAATAAACTGTACTTGAGCTAACAGGTACTTGGTTCGCTCCGTACAGTCAAGGCAGTTCACCAAGTCTGTATGTATGTTGAACTTCTTTCGCACCGTGAGTAGCCAACCGCGCTAATCGTCTGTGCGACCAGTATGACCGGGGCGGTCAGAGAGGTTAGCGTGGTCTGGTGCGTTGTGTTGGTTTCGCACAATGTGTCTTTCGGTTCCTTCAGTTCCTCTTACCTGGCATTCTTTTTAATTCCCATACTCCTCCTCTCTCACCTTTACCCCTTTTTGAGAGACTTTTTGTTTGGGTTGTTTGGCTGTCCCCCAACATAAATGTCATGTTTCTGTAGGAGACATAGTGGTCTCGATAGATTTTAACTGGTTAAATAAAGCTCGCCAACACGTGCGATATTCTCCCTTAGAGGAATGTTTTAGCTCTGCTGCGTGCCCTGACCTTCATGGCGTCGATCTTGCCCTTGACCTGCTCATTCTTCGCGAGTGCACGCTCCAGGCATTCTTTGGTGTAGAGCTGGGGGTTCTTCCCCTGGTCGATGTATCTGTGGCAAAGGTCAAAGAAATTCTGCTCCAGCGCCCGCCAACGCAGTGCGACTCATGTTCGCGTCAAAAGTAAAAACGTGTCCCTGCTCAATGGAGCAAAGGGGCGGGAGCTCTCGTCTCCATTGGCAGCCCCGATTCAGTTGTGCAAATTCCACATTCCCATGGCAGGTACATTTTTCAATAGGATGACCAATGCTAACCTTCCGCAAAGACGAATTTATTTAATCGATTCTCGAATGATTGTACAAATCCTGGTGACACTAGCTGTTACGGCACTAAATGCAATATAGATTTCAATTTCAATATATTTTTTCGAAGTTTCTCTTTAACGGAGTTACGTTTTTTCATTATAATATCAATGTTCGCTCGAACGAAAGGCTTATTTTAATTATTCATAGTCTGCCTGCTCAAGCAAGAGTAGTATAGTGTTCATCTTTTATTAGCAGTCTTGAGCCACCAGTGTAAATTCCATAAACCCATGACATGGACTGGTCTATCCATAGGAAGACCACTGTTGACAGCCCACAAAGTGGGATCAAAATGATAAACTACAGGATGATTTGATTGCCGAGTCAACCTCCAATAAGGAGTTAAAATTGCAATATTCAGATTTTCTTTAGCCAAGTGATAGATTTATCAACTCAATCTGTTCAAACTAAACTTGATCGAGACGGTAGAGATCATCGCTTCAAGGTAAGCTGCGCTACTGGGTATTTTACACATTTAACCAACATGAATTGAGCATCAGACTTAAACTGTGTGATAACACGAGCATCAATTTGCTCCACATTGTGTTTGGACGGTAGAAATAACCGACGCATGCTTAGCCAAGGAGTGGTCATGTCATTCTCAGGTTCTGCGGGGGGGAGGGGCGGTAAGGTTCACTGCTGAACGATAGGATACTGATTATGATTTACTTTTGAAACAAAAACACTATGTTTTAAATTAAGTATGTTGTGCATTTTTTAACAGTAGTTCCAAGTGAGAGTGCAGATACAATATACATCTCTAATTCAGACATGCTCTGTGAGTTGTCTTTAAAACAAGTACTGACAGCATTTATCAATATGACTCATGGCTTTCAAGGTAACATGGCATTTTACACCCCGAAAATACATTTTATTCCCAGTGTCAAAACTGGACGTGATATTACTCAAAACTGTGTGTGTAGCGCCAGCAGATTACGGCGAGTGTGGGCAGACACAATGCAATTTCCGTGCGAGTGCATCACGAGCGGCGAGGAGAACCAACGTACTCAAAGACTTCCAACGGTACGTGCACATCGTGAAGAGACTGCCGGCACTTCTCGATCTCTTGCAACCCGCCGATCATTGTGTTCCTGCAGATGAAAGAAAAAAAAACACCCACCAGGCGCATTCCAATTTCAATTGGCAGCCCCAGGTCCTGGAGCCACAGGCACGGCATCCCTCCCGCTCAAGCGGTGAGCACAAGTCTCCATTGGGAGTCCCTGAAGGCAGCGACGGGAATTCCACATTTCTATAATGGGGACCTGTCTATCCACAGGGCAAACGCTTTTGTCGAGTGCCCAAATACCGTGGTTCTCTCGTTTTATTAACTGCGGACGTATTCTGGGCTGATACACTCCCAAAACAGGATTTAAACTTGAAACCTCTCGCTGATTTAATACATTTAAACTAAGCTATGAATAAACCATCGTACAGACAAACCCAACGATGTCTTAATTTATTTGCATTCGCGCCCAAAAAGTGATCGAAAACTTTTTTCATCTTTATCGGAGTAAGCGATTCAAATTCAGGAGCCCAGCAATACTGTCTGTATCAGACATTACACCCACAAAGCCACAACATTACTGATCAGGTGGCGCTGTGGTAACAGCAAATGGAAAACAGTCTGAAGGTTCCACGTTCAAACGTTGGCCAGTGGTTGTGACTCACAAAACCACCACCACCATTTACATGTTTCCTTGGGGGGGGGGGGGGTCATGCAGCCAGCTATGGCTACAGGGTTTGGTGGTACGTGTTGTTTATGTCGTTTATTGTGAAATTCGGTCACAGTTCCGATGATCACTGTTATATTGCTTATGGCATTATTTTGGTGATTTCGAACACGTTATTTGGTTTGGCCATGTTTGTTTGTTGTAGTACGGAGTTAGAACGATGGCTTTAATCGAAGTTGTCTTGTGGTTGTTGTTTGACTTGCATCCCACTGGGATTTTTGCACAGCGTTGGTGTACGGTGCTTTTTTTATGGAAGACTTTGCAGTTTTTTCCTGGATTTTTCTGTTTGCGCATAGTCACTTTAAGATGTTTTCTTGTTCATGTTTTTGTTTGTTGCGGTTGCACCCGATTCAAGAGCCGAATGGCTCACAGGGCTATACCAAATAAATGAAAACTGAAACTGAACTAAAAATTACGCAAACTGTGGCAATTCAAGGGTGGCTTTCTTATGTTGCGGCTTACAGCCATCCATGGGAATGTGTAATTTCCACTCATGACCTCGCTCAAGGCCACAAACAACGATCAACAACAGTCCCACACTCATTTAAACAGGTCTCTTAACGTCAACTAGCCGCATCCAGTTATACCAGCAAGAAGATTTTTTTCCTTTAAAAAAATCTATCCAAAATTAAACCAAATTTTTCTTCTGCATCTTGAACATTTAAGAGGCTTCCATTTGCATCCACATCTATCCCACGTCAGGTTGGCCAATGGATTTATTGTTCATGAAGCCGAGACTATCAATCACTCAATTAACTGCATCAGATGCACTTGACATTATGCAGCAGGCCAAGTACACTTTCAACTACTTCGGACTGGAGAATTATTTCACTACACGTACAAGTTACATTTGCATCAGACTGTGCAAACGATCTGCAAGAAAAGCTGTTAAGGGTATCGGAAAGCGCTTTTAGACGATCCCACCGAGCATGCCACACTTTGTGGGTGACGTACAAAGCAAAGCATCTGCATGGGCAATTAATAGCAACAAACCCTGGAACGGCACAGAAATATAATTACAGTAAACAGAAATCTGACCTTGAATTTAATACATAGGCTTTCATCGTAGCAAATTGCTAAATGTTGTGGATTGCTCTCGAACATAACGGTGAGCTGAAGCAATAAAAACTGGCACATTTGTTCACGTGACAACGGTATCTATTTGGCTGTTTCAGGTGGAGGAGGGTATATGGCACAGTGGCATTTTACTCATGCAACCATTAAACATCATCAAGAGCTCCCACATCAGCAAACTGTACACAAGCTAGGAGGAATATCAATCCTTATACAGACAAACTTCTTCATTCGTGGATTTTTTTCTTTAGCAAAACGCGATTATTCGCGAATTTACATTTGTATTCCAGTTTCAATTTCGCGCCGTTCTCCCTCCACTATTCGCAATGCGACCGCTTCAACTGCTCACAATTCAGCGACATCGCATCGTGGGCGAGAGGTCCTGGCCTTGCACAGTACACCAGTGGGTTGGTGGCCTTGGGGCTGCCATCGAAAATGCTGAAACCGTTGCCTTTTGTGCCACTTTTCGCCTTATTTGTGGTGGGTTTTTTTTCCCATTGTGGGGGTCTAAGCGTCAGGAATTGAGAGCAAGAGTAAAAAAGGCAGAAACAAAAGGTAATGAGTTTAGCTAAAAAAAGTAGAGTTGTTGGATATACTTGCTATCGTGGTGAACGAGTCGAAAGTCAGCTGACAGTCAGCTACGTAAAGAAAAACGAGAAGGCAATCAAGGAAAGTGTAGCAACAAGTGCACTGATGACCACACAAGTAGCATCATCACAGCCCCATTATCATCATCACATCGAAGGTAAACAAAGCGTTCAAATTTAGAGTAAAATGTATTGACGTGTTTGTATTGTGTGTTGTCTGTTGTATTATTGTACAATTTAATTCAGCATATGGATGTTGTTCATGTGTCCAATACAGGATTAATGTTACGAAACGTTTTCATTATATCCCATAAGTTCAGTCGGACAAAGGAAACCTAAATCGCCTTTTCCCCATATGAACATCGGGTCAACATTCATGATTTCATTAACAGAGATTACCCTGTTTAGAAATTGGCCCACCGACAATGGAAGGTAGAATTTCCATCGCCGACTGCTAATGTAGATCAGCATCTCCCAGTGCTCTTTTTAGCGGGGTTCACATTTTTTACTTAAAAACATTTCACCAATTGAACTGACTTTGAAATGTGTTTAACACAAGTACTGTGTGCTCCCTGTGAATCCTGTCATCATCATTTTTTTTAAAATCACAGTTACTAAGTAAAGGCCCTAAGGCCCGCAAATTAGGAAATGGGGAACGAGGGAAGCTAGCGTAAAGATTGGAAGTGCAATGTAACAAATGTCTTGAATCGAGTTAAATTTATAAGAATAGATTTTGATTTAAAGCTTTCGTCACTGCAGGGATTCGTCTTCTTGGTTCTTTCGGTAAAGTCACGTAGAAGGGAAATAATAAAAATAAAACATAATAAAATACAATTCTCACGACGTTTCGGCCACAACGCAAGCAGCCGTCCTCAGGTGAAGAACAGGGCTGTTGGAAAGACAGCATCCGAATGAACACCACGAAGCTTGGCAGCGTATATTTAAGCTGGGTTAGAGGAGGAGAGCGCCTTGACAAAAAAATTTACATAAGATGCATTTAGCATATTTATGGAAAGGAAGATATGGGATTAGTCACTACTTGTGGAATGTGTAGGTGGTGGGGGGGGTCTCAAAGTCATATTATGCTCGTGTATTATGTAGGATTAGCAGTCATAAAGGGAGGAAGTAGGATTAGCAGTAATAAAGGGAGGGAAATTTTAATAGTAAGGAGCTGCAGCAGCCAAACCATAAGAATAGGTTTTGTCCTTTCAAGCAATAACACAGGAGGTCCAAAATAAATAAAAATTTGGTTCGATCGCGTAAGTATGAATGTGTCGTAACCCGCCTCCACCCGACACAGCCAACCAGTAAGAATTGTTACGTAAACAAAACATCCCAATAAGTTACTACTTCAGCCCACCGGTGTGTTGGAGAGTAAATCCAACACAAAAACTTTATTATGAATAATACTGATCGCGAAAGCCCACGGATCAAACACAGGAGGTGTTAAGATATTAAAATACCGAATAGATACCTTTTGCAAGGCATCAAGTCTGCATTAAGCACACATACTTGCGGCAAAACATGCAAACAATCATCTTCTGATAATGCATGGTCATTGTCTTGGTTCTTTCGGTAAAGTCACGTAGAAGGGAAATAATAAAATAATGAAAATAAACCATAATTAAATAATTTGTGTTTTACCGAAAGAACCAAGAAGATGAATCCCTGCAGTCACGAAAGCTTTACATCGAAATACATGCATTGTCTTTGAAACTGATTGGCCAACACCAGACAGCCCTCTTAATGGCCTTGTCTCACCAATGTCAGCACCAGAGACCGCCAAAAGATAGAACAGTACAAAGGCAATGCACGCATCAAAGCATCAAACCTCGGTTTAACAATGGTGAAATAGGCTACATAACTGAGAGAGACTGGAGGAAAGGAGTTCCAGACAGTTTGTAGGCACGATCTCACAGCCCTTGCCTTCACAGTCTAGAAGTCTAATTACAGATATTTGTAGGCATCACTCATGACTTGACTGCCAACCATTGAACTCGTCACATTGGAACACTCTCTCACCAAGTGTCAAAACGGAGATTACACCAAGCACATCAAAGCTCTGCGACGACTTAGCACCATGGCCCGAGTAGTACAACTCTCAGCCAAACTCAATAATGCCTGCAATACTATTCCTACAATTACACAGCTGTAAACAAAAGAGAGTTATATTAGATTGAACGTGGTGACGACGACGACGACGTTTGGCCATTTGCCTCACAATCATCACACTGCAAGGGTTACAAAACTCGAAGCCAGAGCGCAGCTCAGCCAGGCCATGAACACAATGTGGCTCCCGAAATTTCCTCGCGAGGAAAAACACTTAAAAGGTTGACGCTTACAAGAGGTTCCTAGTAAAGGCGTACCAACACTCCTTGCCCCTACTGCTGCATGACGCACGACATTAATGACGCTCATTGATGTGGCCGGCTATCAAGTGCAATAGCCCGGTATGTAAAATGGTCCCCCTTCTCCAAGCCACCAGGCTATCATGCAGATCGTCAGACAGTCAAATATTTCGCACTGACGCAAGCACGCCAACTGCCACCCCCCCGCCGCAAGAGAATTAACAATCTGCCATGCAGCGGGTCTGTCAATAGAAAGTGCATTAGCACCACACAATATTGGCAGCAGCTGCTACTGTGCGAGCAACCTGCGGTAAAAAACTAATTATTGCTGGCAGATCCGACGACAAGCGCG